CGTTGACGTAGGAGCTCTTTTAATGCTGCCTCCAAATGCACTGATTAACCCTCAAATCAAGCATATATTGGTGAACACCCACCGTCAGCCTTAAAAGCTCTAAAACGTGGACTGAAGCATCATGACTTCTCCTGAAAGGAGACCAAGGAATTAACGGTTGGAAAGGCGTGTATGATTTGCTCATTTCCATCTAAACGGAGGAAAAGGGTCTTAAAGTAAGACAAAGTTCAGAAGCAGAGAAGGAGTTCCAGATCCAGAGGCAACGACTGGCTGATGTCATGGAATAGCATACGATTAGAGAACCGAGCACCGAAGAGCAGCTAAAAAAAAGAGGAAACCGAGGACAACCATTTATACCTTCAAGAAAGAAGCATTCTGAAGTGATGACTATACACGCGAAGAGTTTGCTCCGCTGTCCGGCCTTTCACTGTTCTAACCATCTATAGGTTTTCTCCACTCCTGAGAAGGCAGAGAAGCCTCAGCAAAGAAGCCGGCGGCAGCAGCATGTTTTAAGTTCCAAATCAATGTCTAATTGAATGCCTATCAATTCTGGTTTATGGCTGACCATGAATGCTGCATCGAAAGAACGGTAAGAAAGAAAGGCAACTAGAAACCCAAAAGCCCCGATTTCCCATCTGGAATTGTGCTAGCATTGAAACGCCTCCCTCTCACCAACCCACCCCCAGGTTCAGGGCTGGGGAATTCCCTGTCCTGTGAGCTTTGAGGACAAACAGCAGGAAAGTGTGCTGGGAGCCATGCCTGGAAGGTAGGGTCAACACACGGCTGCTGAGTCCCGCTGTCCCCTGAGGGCATCCAACCTCTGCCAGAGTAAACAAAACCAGAGGAAAGAGGGGTTTTCTCCTCAAACAAGGGTTTGAACCCTAAACCCTTTCCTTTCCCCTCACCCCCCATCATGGCAGCTGTTGCTAAGACAGGCCAAGGAGGCCTGGCCAAGATCGGCTTCCCATCTCTTCTAGGTGGTGCAGCGGTTAGAGTGCAGTACTGCAGGCCACTTTAGCTGACTGTGTTCAGCAGGTCAGCGGTTCAAATCTCACCGGCTCAAGGTTGACTCAGCCGTCCATCCTTCCGGGGTTAGGTAAAATGAGGACCCAGATTGTTGGGGGCAATGTAAATATATATACACATTGCTTACTGGTGTACACCGCTTAGAGAGTGCTTGCACTTAAAGCGGCATATAAGTCTCATAAATAAATAAATAAAATAAATAAGAGTCTGCCAGATAGCCTTGGTGACAAGTGCAGAGGTGGGGGGAACCAGACTTCAGGTCCCAAGGGAGCCTCCGCATCTGTCAGGGGTCTGGAATTACGACCTGACCAAACCTCCCTGTTCTGGAAAACTGACAACCGGAAGACTCAGAAACCAGACAGGGCCGTTTTATTTTATAGCCTTTGATGAGCATCCCAAATGCTGAAAACCAGATCTGATCCCAAGCCAGATCTCCACTATTAAAATTTCTAGTTCCAGGGTGCATCAAATCCAGAGAGAGCACTGCATGAATTACATCTTTTGTGCTGCAAAAGAGCTTCACCTGTAATTAATTTTCTGACTGTCCTAACCAATGTCCCCGGATCCTCAGAGCCTGCAGCCCTGCTCTTTCGGAGGCGAAGGCGCTTTTGAGGTGCACTTTTGATTAGTTCACCAACTGCTCTTCCTCAGAAACCGCCTCCTATGAAGACTGGCCATGGTCTCCCCTTCCCTCCTCTCAGATGGCTCAGGGTGGACCTTCTGACCAAACAGGGTTTGAATGGGGGATGCTCTGGACCCTCTTCTGCTCCGCCAATGCATTCGAGGCCTCCATGTGCTGGGGAGGAGGAGCCTTCTCAAACGAGGGACTCCCCCCTGCCTGTTGGAGACCGTCAATTGCTACAGGCAAAGGCAAGATCCCACGTGAGCATGGCACAGGCACAGACATACAGAGAGAGAGAGAGAGGAGAGAAAGGGAGAGAGAGAGAGAGGGAGGGAGGGAGGGAGGGAGGGAGGAGAGAGAAGGAGGGAGGGAGGGAGGGAGAGAGAGAGGAGAGAAAGGGAGAGAGAGAGAGGGAGAGAGAGAGGGAGGGAGGGAGAGAGAGAGGAGAGAAAGGGAGAGAGAGAGAGGGAGGAGGGAGGGAGGGAGGGAGAGAGAGAGAGAGGAAAGGGAGAGAGAGAGAGGGAGAGAGAGAGGGAGGGAGGGAGAGAGAGAGAGAGGAGAGAAAAGGAGAGAGAGAGGGAGAGAGAGAGGGAGGGAGGGAGGGAGGAGAGACAAGGAGGGAGGGAGGGAGGGAGGGAGGGAGAGAGAGAGAGAGCGCTACCAGCCAGAAGTCAACAGTTATTTCGACCCAGGCAGAAAATGCAGCATTTGGGATTATGGTTTCCACTGGTACCCAGAGACAAATGGCTATTAGGGGAGGGTGTGTGTGCGCTAGATCAGACTGGGAAGCACACAAAATCTCCACTGCTTAGGCTGCTGCATGTGCTGGCTGCCTCCCCCACCCCACCCCTTCCCAAATCTGCCTTCTGAAACAGCTGCTCAACTGGCCTCAAGGCGGGACTGGGGAGAAGGTGGTTTAGCTGGGGAAAGCAGGCCAGACAGGAGGGAAGTGTGAAGTGTGAAGCAGATGTGTGACCTCTTAGCATTCTCCTGGCCTCCTCTTAGCATTCCCCCCCCTCCAGTGCCTAGAGATGCCTATTTTCTCCCACCCTGAGCCTAACGTTTGGATCTGCCTGCCCAAAGACAGTAGTAAAGGATGCCCGTTTTTTCTCTCTCCTCCAAAGCCACCCACCACCCGTGTCTTCCACTCTCGCTGGTGGGGCTGGATAATCAAAGCTATTCAGAACAAGAAAGTCCTAAAAGGGGGGGGGGCACTGCGAATCAAGTGGTCCCATCTCTAATGTGAGAATATACATCAGACTTGCAGGATCTGTTCCATTTTCAAGATGACCCTTTTCTTTTCAAGCATCGTCGGAATTAGCTTCTCCATCACAATGGCCCTATCAGCTCTTTGAGGATGGTGTGAAATCCAGCTACGGGGCATCTTAAACAAACTCCGTTTTGTACACACATCTCCTGAATGCTTTAACTTAGCTGAAGTAACACAATCTGGACTCCTCGGCAGAAAAGCACCAGAGGAGGAGCTCCTGACGGGAAGGCAACCCGACGGTTACTATCCAATTGCAACAGCATCCCGGCTTCCTGCAAGTAAAGTGATCCTGGCAAAGGAGAAAACCTATCAAGAAATGAAAATCTTCCGTAAACTAAAATCCTGCATTTATGATGATCTCAGTGGACCACCTCGCCTCCCAGAGTTGTGAGTGCTCCATCGCTGGAGGTTTTCAAGAAAAGACTGGGCAGCCCTTTGTCCGGAATGGTGGAGGGCAGTGTAGCTCAACCTTGGCTACTTGAAGAGGTGTAGACTTCTGGGAATTGAAGTCCGCACCTCTTAAACTTGCCAAGGTTGAGAAACACTGGTGTGGGGTCTTCTGCTTGAGCAGTAAGTTGAGCTCAAAGACCTCCAAGGTCCCTTCCAGTCCTAGGATTCTACCTTTCTATGTTTTCCTTCAAAGGAACTCAGCAAAATGGCTACCGCACCAACTCAGATGCTATCATGCTAACCCCGTTGACCTGTTTTGACCTGTTGCATTCAATCCATCATGGGGGGGGGATATTTCCCTGGGTAAATACTGTAGAGAAAAGAGGGTTTACAAGCCCAAGAAGACAATACCAGAACCCACCATGACATTCCTGGCAATGGCACCAAGAATCCCCCTCGCGTGAAATTCCACCCCTTTCACCTTTGCACAAGAGAAACGGCGGAAAAGCCCCCACCCCCACCATTTTTCCTTTAAGGTATATTTTACCTCGCAGCCAAACATCTTTCAGAAATGGCTAACAGAATAAAATATTCACATTACAAACAAACAAATCAGAGCAGCGGCCAAAAAAAAAGAAAAGAGCCCCAGCCTCAAAAGAAGTAAACAAGGTTGCAAATCAGTCCAGCATGTTATTAAAACAAGAGGAGTTTTGTAATTTCATATTTGAAACACAAACACAATTTAAATTATGGCAGGATCCCTGATGGGCCCCTCAGGTTAGATCCTTTTTTGTATAGAAAACTGCTGAGCACCCACTGGGGGGGGGGGAACCCAATTCACCAGCCCCAAAGCCTTGCCTACAAGTGCAAAGCACCCGCCCTCTCTCCCCCCTCTCTCACAAACTAGAGCAAACCATCCATTTCTCCTTGAAGAAGCAAGCCAGGATGAGGAGCAACTCCTTGGAGCAGGCTGCCTCCTCCCCCATCCTCTGCCCCCCAGATGACTGACAGAAAGAGAGAGGAAGCAGTGGGGGGGAGCACCTCAATTAGCCTCATGTTAAGGCGGCTTCTTCCGCTTCCCCTTCCGCTTCACCAGCCACCCCCACATCCTGGATGCTGACAGGGGGGCCGTCCACTGCTGTTCAGAGGCCAGGCAGCTGGGGAGGGAGGGGAAGGGGCTGCTGCCTCTTTGAGCTTCCTCCCAGCTCTCCAGCACCCATTGGGGTGAAAGTGCTCCCTTCCCAAGTAGAAGAAGGAGCAGCTCAGCCGGAAGAGGGAGGCCCTACGCATTCAGCCTGCCAGAGGCCAAATAAAGAGTCGCTAAGCCCAACCACCAGGAAGACGGAGCAGAAGAGCTGCTGCGCAGGGCACTGTGCTTGGAGTCTCTTGTGGGCAGCAATCAAGCTTACAAAATGCCCCCCCCCCAGAGAACCTCTCCTCCTTGCCACAGGATCCCACTGGACAAGCAACCCAGTTGCCCCAGAAAAGGCCAAGGTGATGGAGACACACTAAGTCAGCCCCAGCCGGACTGAGAGCGGCCCTCGGCACGCGGCAGGATGCAGGCCTCACTCCTGAAGGCCCCTTTGCTTTAAAAATGAGGGAGCCTTCATGGCTACGCCACACCAGCAGGCTCTGAGCTTTTCAGGGATTTGCACACAAGACAAAAACACATATCTTGAGCTTGTAACTCACCCTGACACTGGAAGCCTTGCTTTCCAAATCCCCTGCAAAGGAAAAAAAAAAAAAACACCACGTTAGAATTCATTCACTGCCAAGACGCTCCTCTTTAATGTGGCTTCGGCATCTCCTGGTGAGCCTTTAACGAGGCTCAGCACAAGTGGGAGAAAAAGCCAAAAGCCACATTTTATTGAACGAGAGGAAGATGACAAGAGAAACAAAGGAAGAGGTTACAAAGGTGGCCTTGAGTACAATGGTTGTGCTGGACAATGGCAGCCTTCCCCAACCTGGTGCCCCACTTCTGTGTTGGACCACAATTGTCTGAGTTCCGTCCAGCACGGCTGCTGACCCAGCTGGCCGAGGCACACGGCAGTTGTCGCCCAGTAATTGGGAAGGTCGGAAATGGACCCGAGCAGGGCAGCCACCGCAGAGAAGAGGGAGAGGGAGACATCCCTTGGTTCCTCCTGAGCAGGAGCTGACAGGAGACAGACATAGACAACTCCTGCGGGCTGAGAAGGCACCACTGTAGGACCCTCCCAGGATCTTTGCAAAGAAGGGGGAACTTAGCGGACTTCAGCCTGGTCCAGGAAAGAATATCTTTTAAACCAGTGGTTCTCAACCTTTCTAATGCCGCGACCCCATAATACAGTTCCCCATGTTGTGGTGACCCCCAACCACTTATACATCACCGGGTGCCAGGGGCGTGGCCAAAGAAAAGGGGGGAAAATGGCAGACAGGCTTGTTTGGCGACCCCCGTGAAATGGTCGTTCGACCCCAAATGGGGTCCCGACCCACAGGTTGAGAACCACTGTTTTAAACCAACACTTGGCTGTGGGAATCACTGATCCTGCACAAGCCAAGCGATCCTTGTTGAGGGTGCATATATAGCACATGCTGGAGAGCCCCCAGCTAAGGAAATGATATTCACCTCATCTTTTTCCCTAAAATTGCAGATGATGGCAAGCTAAGACGATCTGGCACAGGGTTAAAGAACAGATCCCCCTCCTCCCACCCGCCATGAGTTTTCTCCATCATGTTCAGATCCCCGCTGTGTTGGGGAATCGATGTTCAGGTCCGGAGGACCAGCGTGGGGGAGGGGGGGGCGTTTTCCCCTCCTGGAAGCAGCTCGCTTGGCCCAAGAGTTTCAAAGGAAGCCGGGTCTCTGGCTGAAGGAGGCCATCACGCTTGGCCACAATACGGTCTGTTTGGCCTCTCCCTGTAGGCTATACAGCCCTTCTGACTTAATTCACCTTAACTGCGACTCCGAGGACCCCTGGCCCAAACCTGGAAAAAAGTTGCAGGGGCACCCAAGTGGGGAAGGCTGTCAGTGGGGAAGGGCCTCTCCGGAGCAGCTTTCCACACCGAGCAGCCCTCAAGGCGCGAGCTGGCCGCGGACAACGGAACGTGTAGTAGCCCCAGCCTGCTCGGAGGGCTCCAGGTTGGGGAAAGCCTGGCAGGGCGAAGGCAGCCGGCTGGGCAGACGGGGCGGGGGGAGGCGGGGAGGGGGGACCGGACAGCCGGCCTGAGAAGCGGGAGGCGAAAGTTACCCCCTTTTCCACGAGGGCGGAGGGGAAGCGTCCTGTCCCGACCCCCCCACCCCGAGCGGGCGAGGACCAAGGGCGCACCGCGCAGGGAGGGAGGGAGCGGGGCGAGCCGACGGGCCGAAGCCGGGGCAGGGAGGGGCGAGCGAGGGTCCTCCCCCCCGCCGGGCGCCTCACCAGATGAAGTCGGTGCAGTGGCTGCAGAAGGTGGGCTGCTTGAAGAAGCGGGCGGTGAACTTGTGGTTCTTGACCTCGTGCACGTTCTTCTGGCGAAGGGCGCCTTTGCGGGCGAAGCGGACCGGGCCCTCCTCGCCCTCCGGCCCGGGGGGAGCCGGGGGCGCCGTCGCCGTCTCAGCAGCCGGCTCGGCCATGCCGCCGCTCCTGCCGCCGCCGCCGCCGCTGCACCGATGCCGCCGAGCTGCCTGGCGCGGCCGCCGCTCCGCCCGCTGGTGCTGAAGCTGCGGCGGCGACACCTCTGGCCGCCACTGGGCAGAGGCAGCGCCGAGCCTTGGGCGCCCGCCCCGCCCCCCGCGCCGCCTCCCCCCCCCGCCGCCCGCATCTTCCGCCGCCCTCGCGCCGCCCCGGGACCCCCCGCGCGCGACCCCGCCCGGGACCGGCGCCCCCTCCCCCCCCCCGTCCGGCACCCCGAGAGGAAGGGAGGGCGGCGGCGGCGGCGACGAGCGGGCTGAAGGAAGGCAACCCGGAGGGCGGCCCCGGAGAAATCGGCCCGAGGGGGGCACGGGGCCCGGGGAGAAAAGTCGGGGTTCCGGTGGCCTCTGCGGGGTGCCGGGAGAGCTTTCCGTCCGGGGCCCCTTTGTGCTGCAGGCCCTGCGTGGCAGAGGAGGCACCCTAAGCTGCCTTCTGGCTAGGTTTGCACTTGAACCTGCGTGGACAGGATCCGAACTCAGGACCCAGAGGGTGGGCATTGTGTGAATGCAGCCAGGAGTCCCGAATAAGGCCCGGTCAGAGCGCCGCTCTGGAACCCAGGGATAGGGATGGATGTGGCTAAAAAATCAAGATGGCAGCGCAAGATGGTAACCACATTACCACCCGGTTTTGATGTGCCTGTCACACCTCTGGGTCCACAGGGCCGTCTCCTGCAGGCGGGTCCCAGAAGCCCCTGCCGGCCACAGTGGTTCCAAGGGCTGCTGAGGCTCTTCCAAGGTTCAGAGCAGCCGGATCAGCCCCAGAAGCCTTTCTCGAGCTGGACTCTGCGGGCCATAAATCACCCAAATCCGAAGCCTGGCAGCAGAAGGGCTGCTTTCAGCCACAGGTTTTTGGCTGTGCTTTTTTTTCCTGCCTAAGGAAAGGGGGGAGTGGGCGCCAAAGGCCTCCCAAAGAGGGGCTGTTGCCCCCAGCCAGTGGACCCCCTCCTGCTCAGGCCCAGAGGCTGAGTTGCTGCCTCCCATCCCGCTGTCAGAGCTGGGCCCTCAGCTCAGCAGTAAACCTCTCTCTAGGACTCAGGAGCAGAAAAGAAGCTTCCGGACGTGTAGGTCTCCAGTCTCCCCTGTACTGCTTCTCGGCTCTGCCCAGAGATGATGGGTCTTCCTGGCTTTCTTTTCCTTCCAGGATGAGACCAGGTGTAGGACCAGCTTCTTAGCAACTGGTGCTTTGGACTGCAAACAAAAAGAAACAAACCAAAATTCATTGTTCTATAAGTGTCTCCCTCCCTCTCTGTCTCTCTCTCTCTCTTTTTCTCCCTCTCCCCCTCTCTCTGTCTCCTTCTACCTCTTTCCGTGTCTCCCTCTCCCCCTCTCTCCCTCTCCTCTCCCCCTTTTTCTCCCTACTCTCTCCCTCTCCGCTTCTCTCTCTGTCTCCCTCACACCTCCCTCCCCACTCTCTCCCTTTCCTCCCCCCCCTCCTCTCTCTCCCTCTCCCTTTCTCTGACTCCTCCTCTCTCCCTCCCCCTTAGCTTCCAAATAATACATTGTTGAAAAATATATTTCTGTAGTGTAGTGGTATGTAATACTTTCCAAATTTAAGTTTGGGTATTTTTTTACTGTTTCACGGTGAGGGCAAGTGGCAGAACAAAAGAGCTTTGCCACTGAGGAGCACCTGAGATCCCTCCGAGGCCTCTTGGGGGGGGGCGGGGGAAGTAGGCTGAGAAGCTCATCTTGGTTTTCTTCTAACATGGAGTCCCTTCCCGCCCCCCCTCTCCCTTCTGGTGGCCTTGCAAATGGCTCCCCTTCTGTCTCTTCCCTCATAAATGGGCACCAGCGCGGCTTCCTTACAAATATAGAGCTTGCTAAACTTTGTAGATTAAAAATAAATAGAGTGGAAATTAATATAAATGATAATTGATGCGTGCCAGTTCAGTTTGACTAACGAAGGCAGCTTCTGGACCGGCGTGTGGTAACGAGGGAATCATTTCGCCAGCAAATCTCCTCTTGTTACCACTGAAGGATGCGTGAATGAACCATCCAAGTGGGCAATGACTCTCTCGTAGCTTTCCCAATGGACGGCAGCATACACACACCTGGCCAAGAATCGAACATCTGGACTCCACAGAAGGCAGATCTGTTGCTGAGGCTTTGCTGTGGAATAAACTGAGCCTCCATCTTCAGAGACAAGAAGCCTGAATTTTTAGGGGCTGCATGAAGGAAAGGCTGTGGGGTCCCCAGAAATTTATGGGTTTTCTTGGTAACACTGGAACAAAACATTACAGGCGCAACTAGTACAGCTCTTTTTAATTTAATGGTAACAACACACTGCAAACAGGTGAGCCCCCCCTGTTTTGCTCCTCCTTGCCAAGCAATCGGGGGCTGAAGAGAGAGAGGGGAAGGCAGTGGTGAGAGAGAGAGAGAGATGCCCTTTGAGAAATCCCAAATTCTGCAAAAGCCAAACAGGCTTCCTGAGAACATTCAGGGCTGATGTTTTACAAGCCAGTGACTCTATCCTTGTGCACATCTATTTTGTCCCAGATTTTACTTCACCAGGTGGAGCAGGCCAGCTTTGTCCCTTTTTACAGGTGACCCACGGTTGTGACCACCATCTGGACTTTTTGGGGGGGCCTCTCTGCAGACAGTCTTGTAGCCAGCCAAGGTGAATGAGGAACGGATAAGAAGAGTCGACTGGCACCCTTTGATCAGGACCCCAAAAACTGGGTGCAACACCTGGGTTGGTGGTGATAGGTGCTCAGAGGAGCAAAAAGACCTGGGAAAGTCTTTGCTGCCAACCCAAGTCCATCCAGAGTTTTGCAGCTAAGATCTAATCGTCCTCCTCCTCCTTTGCGTGAAGTTTTAAAAGTTTCCTAACTGGGAAGGTGAGTTCCTTCTGGAAATCAAGAGGTTTTTAAATCAAGATTATCAAACCACTCTGCCAGAAGATAGAAGGCTGGGAATTGCAGTCATCCTACAGTATTATCCCAGAAAAGCATACTCATAGACGCAAGAATTTGACAGCTCAACTTTCTGAGTGGGTGTAAGGTACAGTTTGAGCCTGCAAGATATTCTCCCCCCCCCCCATTGATCCATGAAACATAGCAGAGCCAGCAGGAGGGGGAAACAGACCCAGAATGCTCCTTAAAGGAGCAAATGCTGCTGCTTTTGTTGAAAAATTGCTCATTCTAGTAAATGTAAACAATTTAAGTAAGTTTTAAAGCCACCCTTCTAGCAAATTCACTCTGTGAGCTGAAAACAAAATCATTTTGAGCACGAAATTCTGGATTTTCAGTAAGAAGAGCAAAGACCTGTTTGAGTGCTTAATTCTTGGGCTGCAAGCTGTGTGGCTGTGTGCAGGTCCACCCTGTGTGGCCCATGGCTTGTTTTCCTTTCAAAGCCTGTTCCCCTGCCCTGCCCCCAGCTGTTTTGTCCGCACATTTGTGGAGTGATTGCAGCTTAGGAGTTCCCAGATAAAATGTGTTTCCCCCTTGACTTTCTGGTGAGAGGAGTTTCAAAGTCTGTTTGCCCAGAAGGGCTGAGGGAGAAGCCATCCATCAGCTTGGGAGGAGGCATCATCAAGACCAGCAGGAGATGAGGAGACTCTGAAGCCTTGGCCATTATTTGCAGTCTGCAAGGTCAAAAGAGACGCCGATGAACTCTCTGCCGTTTGCAGGGGGGTCTTCCTGGTGCCACCTTGCTGCCAAGAGGGCTTGGGGTGGATGATGGAGAATCTGTGAAGAGCAGACCTGTAGCTTGGGGGCCCCTGGATTCATGGCCACTGGGGGAGCCCAGCTTCTCAGGCCCCCCTGTCCTGAGAGACAGTTTGGAAACTGAGGTTGCTACAGAATGCAGCAGCTTGAGGCAAACATCTGGGAAGACTCATCGGTCTTGGGGGCTGCACTTGTCGTCCATAAGATTCCGGGCCCAATTGGAGGTGCTGGTTTTCACCTGGAAGGCCTTAACAAGGCTTGGCCACTGTGTCTTTGCAAGAGTCTCTACTGGCCAGGACCGACCTGCTCTGGGGTCAGTTTCTCAGTAGCAGCCCTTTTGTTACAGAGCCCCTTTAAGCCCCCGCCCCAGGAAGGGGAGCCCCCACTTCGCTTGATGTTACTCAGTTTTATGCTGTGACTTTATAATATTATTTTGCTGTTATTATGAAACAGCCTTGAGTTGTATGAAGTCAGGGTGGTATAGAAATCTGGCAATAAGGAAAACCAAGGAATTAGAGGCCTGAAGTACAAAGAAAAAGAAAAGGACACATAGCCAAAGCTGAGATGCAGCTCTCCACACCTTCCTATCTTGCAAGCAATCCTTGCTTCTGGCATGCCCCGCAGGCAACTTCATCCGTGGCCTTTTGTTCTTTAAACCTCTCGCCTCTCCTTCTGACGGTCTCCTCAGTTCTTCTATCCAAGCGTGGCTTTCTTAGGCTCCCTTTGCTCACAACCATTCGCTTCGTCCTTCAGAGAGTGCTTTTGCCATGACATCCATGCCTCTTCAAGATGACTAAATCCTCTCACAGTGCTCCCTCTTTTATGCCTGACTCTCTCTTTTTCTCTGTTTCCCCCCCCCCTTCCTACCACTGGCACATCTGCAGTCTCCCATTGCCGTCGTGCTGAACCAGTTGCTTTTCCTGCATGCCCAGTTCTCACTACCAACAAGATCACATCGCAACCTTGTTGGCTTTGTTCCTAGCAACAGACCACATGTCAGTCACAATGTTTCTATACTTGCACTTGCAAATCTAAGAACCTCTCCATCCATCTCCCATCCTTAGTCAATGTCCTACCAAGTACAGAAATTCAAACAAAGGCCGATGCAGAGGGCGGATAGCCAGTGATCAACACCCTCCCCACCCAAATGATTCTGGGTAATGTTTCAGAAGGTCAGCTTCTCCAATTGGGTTAATTAGAAAACTCTCAACAGTTGGGCTAGGCCAGGAATTCAAACAGCAGTAGAAGGAGGCCTCTTTCAACCATTGGCCTGACAAATCAATGAATGTGTCCAGAATATCGCCAAGAATCATCCTTGAATCACGGGAGACCTTGCTGTTCTATCAAACCAAGAGAAGGGTTGTCAGAACGGCCACCTCACGCCTGCACTTGGCATT